GAGACCAGCCTGGGCTACAAAGTGAGCTCAAGGCCAGCCTGAACTACACGGTGAGACCCTGTCTCAAAAAGACAAAAAACAAAACAATCCAGAGCCAGCCTACAAAAAGCCTCCTCAGCTCCCACCCCAGAGCAGCTGCCTTAGGCTCTCCACGCAGCTCCCATGTCAAATGCCCACCGTGGGTGCCAGCGGGGCTGGCAAGGAAGAAAGGAGAGGACCCCCCCCTGTGCCCTTCCCATCCTGTGCCTTCCAGTGATCAAACTGATCTCCGGCTGGAACGTGGACATCCTGGAGCAAGGAGAGGTGCGGCTGTGGCTGGAGGTAGAGAAGCTGTCTCCAGCTGCCGAGCTGCACCTCATCTTCAACGAGAAGGAGATCTTCAGCTCGCCGGTAACTGGCGCTCACAATCCCTATGGAGCCTGCCCTGAGCAGAGGTGGCCTGCTGGCTTTGGTTCTCCCCACAGTGGGCATTTCAGAGATGGCCATGTGCTGTGGCTGTCCCAGTGGAGTGGGGTTGGGAACGCGGCATTTGGTGCGTGGAGAGCGGGGGCAGGATGCTGGATGCCGGCCAACGCAAGGGACACTTCCACAAAGGACTTCCCATGCCCCTACAACTTCCGAATGTCCCAGCAGACATACTTCAGGTGGTCCACCTGCACTCGTGCTGATGAGTATCCAAGCCTAAGCCCTAACCCTGTTTTAGGCACAAATACAAAGTCCTCTTATGCTGGGCGTGGTGGCGCACACCTGTAATCTCAGAACTTGGGAGGCTGAGGCAGGAGGATCACTGTGAGTCTCAGACCAGCCTGGGCTACATAGTGAGTTTGAGATCAGCCTGAACTGCAGAGTGAGGCCTTGTCTCCAAAGGAAAAAAGAAAAGTGCTCTTGCACAAGCCTAGTGTACATTCAATAGAAAGTTTTTAATTCTGTCAGCCACTTTTCTTGTGCTTATTTTCTTGTGCTCGTTTTTCTGTTCTTGAACAGACTAGTTTCCAATCTTTTTGCTTTTCTTAAATTCCAACCAGCTTAGGCTGGGAATATAGCTCAGCGGCACAGCACCTGCCTGGCAAACAGAAGGTCCTGAGTTCGATTCCCGATGCCAAGAAGAAAAAAAAAGAAAGAAAGAAATCCATTGGGTCCAGGGGTATAGCTCAGTGGCTTAAGCGCTTGCCTGGCAAGCCTGAGGTCATGAGTTCAATTCCTGGTACCAAAAAAAAAAAAATTCCAACCAGCTCGTTAAATCAGTGTAGCATGAGTGAGATTTTGTCCAAGTATCTACATAGTAAAATACATGTTATTTGATTTGAAATATTTTTAATGCTTCCTATTACAGTGAGAGTATTGTTTTTATTTTCAGTTTTGATTTATTTTCATTAAGCAGACAGGTTTTGTTAGATCAAGCCATGTGTTGGTGTTCAGCTGCTCTCACTTGCAAGCATGGCGATTGCAATCTCAGGATGAAGCCTCACATTGTTCATGAATTTCATCTCCAGGTGGCAAATCGGCCATCAGGGAACACGGGTTGGGACCAGGGGTGTAACTCAGGGGTGGAGAGTGTATTTGGAACAAGGCAGACACTGCAGAAAAGAAAGGAAAGACAGACAGATAGAGACAGACGGAGCCTGGGAAGGGGAAGGGGGGGAAAAAGAGAAAAGTTAGACCATTCCATCAAATCATACCTACAAATAAAACCAGAGGGAGTAAAGACCTAAAGGAGGAGCCGGGTGTGGTGGCGCACACCTATAATCCCAGCACTCGGGAGGCTGAGGCAGGAGGATCATTGGGAGTTTGAGACCAGCCTGGGCTACAAAGTGAGCTCAAGGCCAGCCTGAACTGCACAGCAAGACCCTGCCTCAAAAAAAAGACAAAAAAAAATTTAAAAATAAAATAAAAGACCTAAAGGAGGAAAATGAAAAGTTTTTAAACTGTTGGAATGTAGCAAAATGTAAGTGAGAGTTCTGGGTAGCAATGTAGAGGTGTTTTTATATTATCTTTTATATTACCCTCCATATACTTTTTTTGGGGGGGGGTGTGGGGTTTTTTGGTTTTTTTGTAGACAGAGTCTCACTATGTAGTTCAGGCTGGTCTTGAACTCACTATGTAGCCCAGGCTGGCCTCAAACTCACAGTGATCCTCCTGCCTCAGCCTCCAGAGTGCTGGGATTACAGGTGTGCAACCTAGCACCTTCGTATACTTTTATGGAGTTTCTTTCTATGAAATTGTAAAAGAGCTGAGCATGCTGGTGCGCACCTGTAATCCCAGCACTCAGGAGGCTGAGGCAGGAAGATCTTTGCAAGTTTGAGACCAGCCTGGGCCACAAAATGAACTCAAGTCCCACCTGAATTGCATAGCAATACCCTGTCTCAAAAAGATAGCAATAATAACAAAAAAAAGAAATTGTAGAAGTAGGAAATAACCGACAATGAGACACAGTAGGCGAGAGGGAGTTGTTATTACCATGTGATTAATTCAAGCATCCAGGGCGTGTTTCCAGGGCCAAGTAGCTGCACCCCCACCACCAGTCTACACTGGCAGAACAGGGTCTCTGAAGGATGATAGCTCTGCATGGCTCACACCCCGCTCCCCAAGCTCAACTCTACCCTGAGGTGTGGCCCACAACCTGTTCCCAAGATAGAAGAAATGACAAAAAGCTTCGGGGGTTTGTTCTCCCCAGAACCGCAAAATCAATTTTGACCGTGAGAAGGGCCTGGTGGAAGTGATCATCCAGCACTTGTCTGAGGATGACAAAGGCTCCTACACCGCTCAGCTCCAAGATGGAAAGGCCAAAAACCAGATCACCCTGGCGCTGGTGGACGACGGTCAGCCCCGCACCCTGCCCCTGTCCTGGGCCTCCCCGCAGCCCCCACCCCAGGGCCCGCCGAGCCCATCCCCCCATCTGTCCCCGGGGCACCCTGCTCTCCTCAGACCGTGCCAGCCCCTCCCAATGTGTTCACAGATTTTGACCAACTTCTGAGGAAGGCGGACGCCAAGAGAAGAGACTGGAAGAGAAAACAAGGTAAGAGCTGCAGGGTGAAAGTCAAAGGGCGAAGGTTAAGGCCCCAGGCTGCTGTGCTGCAGAAAGGCCGACCTAGGGGTTCAGAGGACCCTAGCCCTACCTCAGAGAGGCCCACTGCGATTCATTCCACCTCTCTCCCTGTGCCAAATCAGACCAGCACTTGCCCACCCCCAGAACGAGTGCCTGTACCCCCACCCCGCCTGGTGCGCGTCTGGATCTTAAGCCCCGCGGTCCTTTGCCGTCTCCTTCCCAGCTGGCTTCCCCCATCTGGCCACCAGGTGGCGCCCGCCTTAGCCTGGGGCACTGACAGGTGGGTGTGTTTGTCTTGGACCTGCAGGTCCCTACTTCCAGGAACCTTTGCAATGGAAGATCACGGAGGACTGCCAAGTGCTGCTGACTTGCAAGGCGAGTCCCGGCCCCACCTCCAGCCTGCGGTTTGTCCTGCTGGCTGTCCCTGCCCCCCCTCCACCCCCCAGTCCCCAATATTTGGCTGATCTTACCCCTGGGAAGTGGCAGCGGGATCCTCGAGGTGGGTGGGCCTTGAGCTCCATCCTCCGAAGGCATCCCGGGGAACAAGGCACCTGGGAGCTAGCGAGGGGTCTACACGTGGAGGGGTCCACTGTATTTATTGTCAGCACAGCTCAGGACATCACAGTAGTATTTCATTTCATCCGCCTCCCCAGCCTCCCTGAGATAGGCATTGTTATCTTCACTTTGTGGATGAAAAAGCAAGCGCGGGGATCTTTCTAGATCACAGGCAGGAGCCAGGTGTTAACCAAGACTGCCTGACTCCAGAGCCGCCTCCTATCTGTTCCAGCGCTCTGCAGCCTCTTAGACAACTGGGGAAGGCCAGGGTCAGTGGGTGGACTGTTCCCCCAGAAGCAGACTCATCCGGTGAACTCAGTGTACCTACTAAGTGCCAGATAAGGCACACACGAGGATGAAGACCTGGTTTTCTTAGGCTCTGCAAGCCCATGGTCTGAGGCAGGATCACTGGAAAGCGGGGTGCCTCACGTTCAATCAGGAAATTCATGAATCACAATGGGAGGGGTGCTGAGGCAGATTTCCTGGAGGAGGTGACATCTGAGCCTAAGGAGTATAGGCATGGGCTGGGGGGGAGTAGACATTTACAAGGAAAACAGCACAGAGAAGGGATAGAGAGGCAGGACCCAGCCTTTGGTCTGATCGTGAGCCTGGGGGGGTCGGGTACCTGTGGGGCAGGAACCTGGGGAGGGAGTCATGTTTGTAATAAAAAGTTGTGATGAGCTGAGTTTTTACTTAAAAAAAGAGAGTGTGACGGAGTCCACACCCTCCTGTCCTTAGGTGACCAACACCAAGAAGGAGACTCGCTTCCAATGGTTCTTCCAGAAGAGACAGGCGCCCCATGGTCAGTACGACCCACAGACAGGGGAAGGGCTTATTTGCATTGAAGAGGTAAATGCACTTCCTGCTCTGGGGCTCACACCCTCCCTTAGCTGCACGCCAGGCTGGCCAGGAGCCGGGGGCTGGGTCCAGAGCAGGGCTAGGACTAGGGGGAGGCAAGCGAGGCTCTCACCCTGTGGCTCAAAATTTAAGGAGCACCAAAAAACACCATCATCTAGATAAACAATATTTTATGCAATATTTTTAGCTGGGTGTGGTGACGCACGCTTGTAATCCCAGCACTTGGGAGGCTGAGGCAGGAGGATCGTTGCGAGTTCAAGACCAGCCTGGGCTACAAAGTGAGCTCAAGGCCAGCCTGAACTGCATAGCGAGACCCTGTCTCAGGAAAAGAAAAAACAAACAAGCAAGCAATATTTTTTAAAAATCAAAACAAATGCCCTCCAAAATGACCATAAAGAAAAAAAAAATCATATTTCCAACAAAGACAAACCAGTTTTACTGCTTTTTCCCTCTGCTCGGGCTGCAGGCCTGAGCTGTCCCTCGCTGACCTCAGCCTTCACCTGTAAAGATGCTCCCTCACCAATCCTTCCTGCGCCCGCAGCCCAGGATAAAGGGCTGGAAGGAGATCCTCGAGTCAGGCAGTTCTGAGCAGAGCCAAGTGGGCCTGGAGCCCAATTCTCCCCCGCAAGGCCTGCCCCACACCCAGGGCCTTGGGAGGAGAGAATCACCAGGCTTGCTCCTGTCCAGCACCTGCTTCTCTGCCTTGGTACTGGTGCCCTGTGGCCCCTAGGGGTCTGGCGCAGTCTAGCTTGCCCAAGTCTGCACAGCTATTAGGAAGAAAAGAACAATTTCAGGGTCTTCCGTAAATCCTGGCCAGGACAACGCCATGTCATCGGCCTGTCAGCATTGGGCAAGCCCCTCAAATGGCATGGCATCCGGTAGGTGCTTAATAGCTGGGGGGCGCCCGCTGATACAGATCTTCCCAGCTTTCTGTGGCGTGTGACCCGCTGGCCCCGAAGCACCAGCAGCAGGTGGGCAGAATGAGGATGATGCTGCCATTTTTACGGATAGGTACACTGAGGCTCAGAGGGAAGAATTCAAGGACACGAAGCTAGAGAGAGGGTCGGCAGTCACTCCAAGCACCCGTTCCCAGCACGGCTGAGACTTTGGGGTCTTCGGGGTGTGGAAGCCAGGAAGGACATAGGAAAGGATCGAGGGGTGCTGGTCCCCAGGTTAAGAGCTGCCGCTGTCCCAGACCCACTCGGTAGCAGTGGGTGGGTCAGAGGGGCTGCTGAGGGGACAGGAAGGCAAGTGATACTCCCAGGCCCCGAGGAAGGGGCTGTGTAATGACAGGCGTCTGCTTCTGCCCTCAGCCTCCCCTTTTTCTCAGGCCGAGTCCAGCCTTGAGCTGGAAATCAGCAGGCTCTGAACTGGCTGGAGCCCAGAGGGGTAAACTGAGGCCCAGGGAGAGAAGGCCTTGCCTGACGTCACGCAGGGAGTGGGCCCTCCCCACCTGGCGTCTCTCCCCTGGGAACCCGCGCTGACGCTGCCGTCTCCCACCCTCCTCTGCAGCTGTCCAAAGAGGACAGGGGAATCTACAGAGCGGAGGTTTCCGACGATCGAGGGGAGGACGACACCATCCTGGACCTCACGGGTGAAGGTAGGAGCCGGCGGTCGGTGTTCCAGGTGGGCCGGGAGGGCTGAGCCGGTCAGCCTGGGGCAAGAGACTGCGATATGACCTGGGGGTAAGAGTTACGGACTCTCACCAGTGTCACTTGGGGACACTGAGGCACGGAAGGGTTTAGGGACTTGCCCACGTTTGCACAGCTAGGCAGTGGCAGGGGCCTGGAGTGTGTGGCTGTGACCCCCGGTCCCTGCAGGACACCCCAAGGCTGAGCCCAAAGCCCGCGCTCACTCCTCCGCTCTGCTCAGCCTGCAAAAAGTCATCTTTTCCCACCATCACCGAGCGCCTCAGCCGCCCTCCCACTCCGCAGTCCTCTGCAGAGCTCCCTGTGCCCGTGGGCAGCTCCCCCGGCCTTGTCCGAAGGGTCCCTGCCCCTGCAGCGCCCTAGGGAAGCCCACAGCAACTGACCCTTCTCTGTCTCCCTCCAGCCCTGGACGCCGTCTTCACCGAGCTGGGCAGGATCGGTGGTAAGCAAGCCCGCCTCTTTGCCCAGCCCCGCCCCGATGCCAGAGAGCCTCCCGGGGCCTCCCGCCTGCCTTGGCTGCGGGGAGCGGGTCTGCGTCCAGCTTCAAGGACTGGCGGAGAAGGTCCTGCCCGCCCACGGAGCTGTGTCCCCACCGCACCACCCCCCAGACCAGGAGCGAGCAGGCTGACCCCAAAACATGCTGCCCGGAGGGACTTGGGAGGGACTTGCCTCTCTCCTGTGCCTCTGCAGCCCTCTCTGCGACTCCGCTGAAGATCCAGGGGACCGAGGAGGGCATCCGGATCTTCAGCAAGGTCAAGTACTACAATGTGGAGTACATGAAAACCACCTGGTTCCACAAGTAGGTCGGCCTTGCCCCCGGGGGCGCTCCTCCTCCCCCGCCCAGCCCTCCCAGCAGAGACCCATCCCGGGAGGTGGGCATGGACAGAGGTTTCGCACGGGTCCTGCTGTCCACAGTCAGAGATGGGGACAGGGATCTGCAGTCAGAGGAGCAGAAATGCGATGGGAGTGACGTTGCTGGGACCTGTCCCTGGAATGCCCGTGTCCTCGGAAGGATCGTGGTCTCAGAGCACCGCCGGGAGGTGGCAGAGGGAGGGACTGAGGAACAGAGAAGAGCCAGGCGGTCCGGTGGGTCGTGGTACCCATGGGCCTCTGCAGCCTTAGCAAACTCAAAACAGCAGGGTAGCGGGGAAGGTGCAAAGAGAGGGACCCGCGAGGCTGACAGCTAACCGGAGGCTGGGGCTGGAACTCGGGAGGAGACCCGGCCAGGAGCTGCTTGAGAACAGAATTTCCCCCAGGCTTCTTATCATATGCTTGCCTCGGCCTCACGACTGACTCGGTCAGGTGTACCAAATGCAGCAGCGCCAAAGTCAGAGAGAACTTCAGGACAATGGGGCTCCTTCTGTAGCCAGTCTCTGAGCCCTGGCCATAGGCGGGACCAAAGAACACTGGGACATGGGCTAGGTGTCTTCAAGCATGAAATTTTTTTGTGTGGGGGGAGTGTCTTTTTGAGACAGGGTCTCACTATGCAGTTCCGGCTGGCCTTGAGCTCACTTTGTAGCCCAGGCTGGTCTCGAACTCACAGTGATCCTCCTGCCTCAGCCTCCCAAGTGCTGGGATTACAGGCATGCGCCACCACTTCCGGCTCAGGCATGAAATTTAAGTAAAAAAGGGAAAGACTTCAACCCTATTGTACATCGTTCTGGAACAGTTCACTGTAGCGGGGAGCCTTGGGAGGGTTTAAGAGAAAATAAAGAGGAGAGGAAATGATTCTTGGGATAGAAGGACTGGCAGTCACTGCCCCTCCTACACCTTTTTTTTTCCTTGGGGTCCCACCCCTCAGGACACAGGGCAAAGGCAGCACTTGTGCATCTTGAGATGCCACAGATTTGATGAGTAAATGAATGGAGGGTGAATGACCGTGCCTCGGTGATGAATGGGGACTGGTTGAATAATGAACGAAAAGTGGGTGCGATCAGTGTCTCGGGGGTGGTCTGTACCCCAAGAGAAGAGCTTGGGTGAGGGTGTTGAGTAGACCTGCAGTAGCCCACCTTGCCTACTTCTGTGTCGCCGCCCTCAGGGACAAGCGCCTGGAGAGCGGAGATCGGTTCAGAGCAGGCACCACCCTGGACGAGATCTGGCTGCACATCCTGGACCCCAAAGACTCAGACAAGGGCAAATACACCCTGGAAATAGCTGCCGGGAAGGACGTCCGGCAGCTCTCAGTGGATCTCTCAGGGCAAGGTGAACCGCCCACCTGTCTGTCTGCTCAGAAGCCTATTCAGAAAATCCCACGGTCCCCCACAGAAAATCCCCTTCTCCCCGCCCCGTCCTGTCACTGCCCCAAGAGGATACTGCAACGGGGAGGAGACTGGAGGACAATCGGGGCTGAGCCCTGTCCACGGGGTCCCCCTGCAGAGCCCTGATGCTCCCCACCGCCTTTTCCTTCTTGCAGCTTTTGATGACGCCCTGGCCGAACACCAGAGACTGAAGTAAGTTTCCTCCACCTTTCTCAGTGCAGATCATAGCGCCCTCCCCAGGCCGTGGCATGAACTGCACTCAAGACCCTTTCCTGCGAGCTCCACCTTTCCCTCCCCACCCCCAGCCCCCTGGGGCAGGACAGTCCCTGGACAAATAGAACCCACACGCCTCCTTCCCACTTCTGTTTTTCAGAGCCTTGGCCATCATCGAGAAGAGTAAGACGCCCCTGTTTCTGTGGTTTTGCTTCGGATGTTGGGTGGGCGTCTGTGGAGCTCAAGCTCCCTGGAGGGCCCCCAAAGTCCCAGATCCGTGGTGGGGTCTGTGCGGCTCTGGGGTCACGCAGGGCTGCCGGGGAGAGCTGGGCGGTGGCGAAGTGAGGATGGATGGACAAGGAGTTCCGGGAACCTGAGATCGCGGTTGGGGACGAGCCGGGGGCTCCCTGTCCCCCTGGCAGCGATGGGAAGTGGGCACTTCAGGGAGTGGGCACCCACAGGCCTGGGCAGCGGAGCACCGTAGCCCTGCCAGCCTGACGCTACGAGAAATGGACAGGAGACGGAAAGGCTGCCAGCAGACGCGGCTGAGCACCTCCCCACACGACATCACTGTCCCGGAGCGTCCCGGCTGACAGGAAACGCAGGCCTTGCGTTCCTCACTGTGGTCGGGACCAGCGTGATGTCTAAGTGGCTATGCAAGGCGGAGCCCTCGCAGAGTTGGAGGGGCACCAGCCTGAAGGAGGCTCTCACAGCACCCCCTTAACTGCCTACCCGGCACGAGTGTCCCCTTGCCTCCTGGAATGCCACGTCCCCAGACAGGGTGCTCCGTGTAGGACCCTAATAGTTAAACTCACCGTCATGTGGTTTCCGGGGCTTGTGGAATCAGAGCCAGTGAAGGAAGCGGGTCTTTTCACTCAAGAAGCACCTGGCAGATATCCCTGTCCCACTGCGCCCATCCCCGGTGGGTCCAGGGTCCTGCTCCCCTTCCCTGCAACTGGACAAACGCCATCCGCGTCGGGCTCTGCACTTCCTGACGCACAGCTTGGGGCCACGCCCAGTGCCTCTTCCCTGCCCTGGGCCTCCTGGGCAGCGCAGGAAACACACTGAGCTTTCTGCTTAGTGACTTGCAGCCACGCTGTCTTCCTGCCCACCTGCAGTGGCCGCCTGGCCCTTCTGAGTCACAGTCACCGTGTCCCAAAAGCTGGGACATCTCCTCTTGGTTTCCTCCCTTAGCTGGCTGATCAGCAGGAATTGCCAGGCTAAGTTCAGAGCAATAAGGGCTGGGGATTTAGCTCAGCAGCAAAGCACCTGCCTGGCAAGCACAAGGTCATGAGTTCGATTCCTGGTACTGGAACAAAAACAAAAAACAAACAGCAATATTATTTGCCTTCTTTCTGAGTTTTCAAAGCCAGGGGCACCTCTCTGCCACCCCCAGGTACTGAGGTTCAAATCATCATTACAATTTGGTGGCAGGAACACAGCATGTCCTATGTCTTCTTGTGAAGACAAGGAGTCAAATAACAGCCTTAAAGATTTCCATCCATAATGGTGAAAATGGAAAAAAGCCTTACTTTAAAAATAAACCTCAAGGCCAGGCATGGCGGCGCACGCCTGTAATCCCAGCACTCAGGAGGCTGAGGCAGGAGGATCGTTGTGAGTTCGAGATCAGCCTAGGCTACAAAGTGAGCTCAAGGCCAGCCTGAGCTGCATAGCGAGACCCTGTCTCAAAAAATAAATAAATAAATAAACCTCAGCGCCAAGGAGACCTGCTCTGGGAAGCGGCTGGCAGGAAAACATTCATGGTTGGCCTCTCCCATTTCCCTTCCAGATCGAGCCAAGGTAGTGAGAGGCCTGCCGGACGTGGCCACCATCATGGAAGACAAGGTACTGACCCCGCTGGTTGCGCCAGTCATCCCCCTCCACATTCCTGCATCTGTCCTGGGTCATCCTGGTCATGGACAGTCTAGGTCTGTGGCCAGAGGCTCTAGATCTGCAGGTGACCGCAGGTCACTGAGTGTGTGTGTATCAGGGAAAGCCACTCAGCCTGGCATCAGTGCCGCTCCACCCAGCTCAACCCCACTTCCCTAGTCAGCCCATGGTCACAGGCTGCCATCCATGACTTCCGCTTCCACAAGGGTTCAGCGGAAGGGTCCCTGAAATCCCTTGTAGGGCTAGAATTATACAAATCTAGTAATCTCAAAAATTACGGTTACAGCAGAGTGTGGTGGTACACACCTGTAATCCCAGAACTCAGGAGGCTGAGGCAGGAGAATAACTGTGAGTTCAAAGCCAGCCTCAACTACATACTGAGACCCTGTCTCAAAACACAAACAGAAAAATTACAGCTACTATTTTTATGGTGCTATCTCTGTGCCAGGCCTTATTCCCTATGGCATATAGGGCAACCCCATGAGCTGGGACATTACTAGTCACACGTATTAGTTGAGGAAGCCGAGACCCAGAGCAGTTAAGGGATTTGTCTAAGGTCACAGACCCTGAAGGCATAGAGCTGATTCCCATACACATGCAGCCCAATTCCAGAGCCTGTGTGTTTAACCATTATACTCTAGTGCTCTACGTTGGAACTTGTTTGAGAATTTTCCAACTCAGTTCATACATCTGTGTGCTAAGGCAATATAATCGTATTTGCAGAGTAAAAGTATAAAGACATGTAAGACAAAAGGCAATAAAGCAATATGCAGGCCATTCTGGGACAGGTAACTGCTAGACAGAGGATGGCCTAAAATTCCAATGAGTATTTGTGTAGAAAGGCTGAGGCTGGAGCACGTGGGGTTAAAATAAAAAGTCCCACCAAGCAGGCGTGGAGGCACACACCTGTAATCCCAGCACTCGGGAGGCTGAGGCAGGAGGGTCATTGCGAGTTTGAGACCAGCCTGTGCTACAAAGTGAGCTCAAGGCCAGTCTGAACTGCATAGCGAGACCCGGTCTCAAAAAGACAAATAAAATAAAATAAAATTTTAAAAAGTCCCTTGCATGGGTTACAATAAAACACACATCATAAATTTAACCCCAGCAGCTACCTGTCCTAGGAGCTCTCTGGGGCATGAAAGCGAATGCCAAGGTCAAGTTACAGGGAGGTGAGACTGTTCTCTTCTTGTCCATTGAAACAGACCCTGTGCCTGACCTGTGTCATCTCAGGAGACCCCACCCCTGAAATCTCCTGGCTGAAGAATGACCAGCCTGTCACTTTCCTTGACCGCTACCACATGGAGGTGAAGGGGACCGAAGTGACCATCACCATTGAGAAGGTCAACAGTGAGGACAGCGGACGCTACGGGGTCTTCGTCAAGAACAAGTATGGCTCCGAGACGGGCCAGGTCACCATCAGTGTGTTCAAACATGGGGATGAGCCCAAGGAGATGAAAAAGATGTGATGGGCACATCCTGGTGCAGCCTGAGATCCAGTCCACAGGACCAGCAGGACCAACCAGTGGGTCGCAGCCTAGCGTGGGCCTTGGGGCAAGCAGAGGGAAGGGGACAGGAGGGGACCCAGGACGTGGGGGTAGGAGTGGAGGGACACACCAGAGGGAGAAGGAAAGCTCTTGCTAGAGTCCTAAGAGGCCTCCAGGATGGCAGGGTGAGCGCTGGACTTGGAATAAAAAACTTAAATGTGAGACTCAGGGTCCCCCAAGCTCTTGAAAGCCTCACCTTTCTCATCCATCAGATAAGCACCCCCCATCCCTCGGGATAGGGACAGTCGGGGTTCTCCATGGGAGGCAACTTCGCTGTGCTGAGGACCTTTGGCACTGTTGATATTTTGGGTTGTCACACCTGGGGGTATCTGCTGCCATGGAGTAGGTCAAGGCCAAGTATGTGCTTGCTCTACAGGTCAGCTCTCCTTGCACAGGATTATCCAACCTAAGATGTCAGCAGCGCTGAGGTCCACAAATCCTGCCATAAACGAGTATATCACAGTCGTCCACTTTTAGGGGACGATCATTTCAGTTCACATAAATTCAACATTCATTTAAGGTACAGCATGCACTGGGTGTGGTGGCGCACGCCTGTAATCCCAGCACTCAGGAGGCTGAGGCAGGAGGATCCTTGCGAGTTCAAGACCAGCCTGGGCTACAAAGTGAGCTCAAGGCCAGCCTGAACTGCATAGTGAGACCTTGTCTCAAAAAAGACTAAATAAATAAATAAATAATAAAGTACAGCATGCAACTAGGTGTGGTCACACACACCCCAGCACTCAAGAGGGTGAGGCAGGAGGATCCCATGAGTTCCAGGCCAGTCTGAACTACATAGTGAGACCCTGTTTAAAAAACAAGAAAGATAAATGACACACAAGCCACACCTACGAGGAGGTCTTAATCCATTAGGGAGGCAGAACTGGGGATAAATGACACCAGGACCGGGCAGGATAAGTTTTATAGAACAGAACCGTGTAAAGTGCTACCAATGGTCAGAGAAGAGAGACAGCTGGTCGTCCCAACGGGGAGGAGGTAGGGCTTCGAAACTCCTTCCTACCGTGGGTAGAATTGGTGTGGGCCCTGAAAAATGAGTCCAGTGTGGCTGTGGAGGTGGGAGAAGGGCCCTTTGGGAGTGGGCATAGCGGGAGCAAAGCCGAAGCGGAGGAGGCGTGCAGCTGCCCAGGTGGCCGTGGGCACCAGCGTGGCGTGGATGACCTTCCCGGCTGCTTGTAGATGGGGCCTCTGCCTAGTGTGACAGGTACTGGTTGGCCTTGCTTGGTGGATCTCAACACAGAGCCAGGCATTTCCCTGCTCTCCAATTTCCTTCTTTGAAAAACTCAGGTTGGGGAAAAAATAAAATTAAAAACAAAAAACAACTACAGTTGGAGGGCAGCTTATAGAATTATAGATATTTGTTGTAAAATTTTTAGAAAACCTTGGGAAATATAGGGGAGAAAATAAAAGTCATCTGTACTCCATCAGGAGGTAACTCCTGCCTCTGATTTCTGCGATGAATTCCAAACTGCAGGATAAAGTGAGTCCTTCCTCCACCCACCGACTGACCTCGTGGACAACTGGTAGACCTCAGCTGCGCTCCTTCCACGCTACGCAGTGCTCAGTGAGCCCCCTGGTGGACAGAGGCAGGGATGGCAGAGTTTGGGGAACCATTCAGGTCTTGAAGGCGGATACCCCTAGCTTAAAACAGTTTCCTGCCACCCACTCACCGTAGCATCTTACACGATCCATGTTCTTTTTCTGGGCCTCAGTTTCCCAGCTACAAAATGAGAAGGCCAAAAGATCGTTTTGTGGGCCCTTTCAGCTGCCACGAAGGTTTTTTATTACTTCTCATAACCCCATTCTTCTTTGTTTTTCCCTTCCCACAAACATGCAGTAAGAAAAAGGCTCCATCCTCCCCCACCCTCACAGTCTTGGCTTCTTTCCCGTGTCGGTGAAAAACATCCCCAGTTTCAGTGACACTGGAAAAACCTACCAGCCACAGTGGAGTATGAGGACTGTGCTCACACCCTGCAGCTCCTACAGGCAGCTCATGAGGCTGCACCTGCCGCCAGCTTCCGGTGAAGGTGCTGAGAGGGTTGCGAAGCAGGAGCTGGTCTGCACTCCGCTACACTGGAGCCTGCAGCAGATTCATCCTGGGGTTTAAAAAAGTTCCTGGTCTGCTAACTCTGGTATCTGTGGCATACCTGAATCCAGTTCTGATGCCTGCCGTCTCTTCAAACTGTGTTTTGCCTTGCAGTGGCCTGATAAGCGGCAGACACTCCCTGCCAGGTAAAGGGCTCTGTGATAAATAGGCCTTGGGCCAGGGGAAAGGTGCGGGGAAGGGAGGTGCTCTCTGGTCTGTGGTGGGGACTCAGGCTTTTGTGAGCCTGCACCCTGGGCTGTGGCCTCCACTGTGCCTCTTGGGGTTCCCTTTTCCCGCCCCCAATGTAACATCTGGGGAGGGTTTTACAGATGCCGTACAGTAACATCCAGGGCGGACAGCAAGCCACTGCTCTGCGGGAGCATGCAGTTCCCGTCCATCCTAAACCCAGCAAAGAACTAAAGGAGCAGTTTAAAATGTAAAAAAATCGGGTATGGTGGCGCATGTTTGTAATCCCAGCATTTGGAAGCCTGAGGCAGGAGGGTTGCAATGAGTTCAAGATCATCCTTGGCTGAGTTCAAGCCAGCCTGGGCTACACAAATGTCTCCAAGCCGGGTGTGGTGGCGCACGCCTGTAATCCCAGCGCTCGGGAGGCTGAGGCAGGAGGATCACTGAGTGCTAGGCCAGCCTGGGCTACAAAGTGAGTTCAAGGCCGGCCTGAACTGCATAGTGAGACCCTGTCTCAAAAAGACAAAAAAAAAAAAAAAAAAAAGTCCCCAAAAAAACGATAAGGACAAAAAGAAAACAAAACAGTTTATTTGAAGATGGGGAAGAAGGAAAAGAGAGACGACAGGAAGCTACTCTGGACAAACAGGAAGAATTCGAAAGTGAATTGTTTGCCTGAAGCCCCTTTTATTAAGATCTTTGTCACACAAAGGTTCTTGGAATCTCATTGGCTCCCTGTCTTGTCTTTCATGCTAACCTTGGATTTCTTCTGGCCGTGCTACCTGTCCCAGTCTTTTGGTAGAGGGTAAGATTATAGGTAGTTCAGGCTAAAGGATTAAGTGAAGGGGAACTTTGGGATTCTGGTTTTCGGTGTTTTGGGGTACTGGGAATCAAACTCAGGACTTCATGCTTGCCAGGCGCTGCACCACTGAACTACATTCCCAGCCCTGTGAGTCTATGTTAATTGAGCTACCTAGGAACTTCTCGGTCCTGAGTTCTTTGCCTTCATCCCTAATTGCTTGGGGTTAGCCCTTCTAATTGCTGGAGTCTGGCTGCAGAGGTCAAAACAGCCTTCTCGAGCCGGACATGGTGGTGCATGCCTGGAATCCCAGCACTTAGAAGGCTGAGGCAGGAGGATTGCCCACGAGTTAGAGGCCAGCCTGGGCTACAAAAGTGAGTTCAAGGCGAGCCTGAACTGCATAGTGAGACTGAGCCTCAAAAAACAAAAGAAAAGAAAAAGAAACCAAAAGTCCTTGCCGTTGGGGTGCAGCCTAGGAGGGCTGTGGATGAGAGGAGGAGCCAGTGGGGGTAGAGGTCCCTGAGACCCCTCACTGTTGTCTCTGTCAGCCCTTCCCACCTAATCCCAAGTACCACTCGAGTGAGGCTGGGGCACAAGCGGGAACCCCACGAAAGGATACGAATCACCAACCTCCCCGTGGGATCTTTTCCATCTCTGGGTATTCTGTCTTTCTCGAGCCCAGGGTAGGGGGTGGGCATGGTCTCGGGAAGCCGGGCTTCAGCCTTACCCGGGTCACACTCACCAGCCAGGAGCCCTGGCCTCCTTTCCACCTCACTCTGCTCTTCCCCACACATGCCCAAGAGCCTATGCTGCTGGCTAGCGTGGGTCCTTGCTTTATTAAAACTAAAGCATACGCGTACAGGGAAGAGCTTCAGCGGGAAAGGTAAAAAGACGATAGGAAGAGACTCCAGCTCAGGTCGCTGGAGGGAGCACACTATAATATAGGGGCTCAGTCTGGCCCACCCACAAAGGAGGAGGCCAGTTTTGAAGGATTAGCTGGCAGGCTGGGGTCTAGTGCTTTTTGGAGTTTTTTTGGCGGGGAGGGGAATTGTCTTTTTGAGACAGGGTCTTGCTCTGCAGTTCAGGCTGGCTTTGAGCTCACTTTGTAGCCCAGCTGCCCTCGAACTTCCAACAATCCTCCTGTCTCAGCCTCCTGAGTGCCGGGATTACAGGCGTGCGCCATTGTCTTCCATACTGGCTCTTTCAAGTGCCTGGCTCTGTCTGACTGCCTATAATACTTCCGTCTAACTCAGCTGCTTATAACAATGGTTTATGGTTTAAAAAAAAATGGCTTTTAAATTCCTGACTGATCTTATCCTCCTCCAAGACTGAGCACAAAACATAAATCATACTTTTAACAAGTAGCAGGTTGGGGCCCAGGATTCCGCCTATTCTCCATCCCTGGGGTCATCCCTGTGTCGTGATCCCCTGCCCTACCTACTCTTAGGTACCCCCCTCACTAAAGCCATGCTGTTTCCGCTGTGGCCACCCTTCCTGTTTGCCCCTTCTATTATTCTTCGTCTGGCTCAGCCTGGGAAGCATGTCCCTTGGTCCAGCCTGATTCCGGGCACCCTGTGTGGGACACAGGAAGTCCGGAACTTTGCCTCCCTTATCTGGCAGAACCCATCAGCAAACGCCCGTCCCTGCATTCTCCAGGGCCTGTCCAGGGGCGTTCAGTTCAGCATGGCGGGTCTTCCAGGGAGCCCGGACGCACAGACGGGAGGAAGGCCAGCCGCCCACACCACGAGCCACTCCTCCCCACGCTCCCAAGGTCACCTTTCACAGCCCAACCCCGGAGCAGTCCTTGGCCTGAGCCCTCAGGGCGTCAGGCAGGAAGCGCACGAGAGCGGGCTCCGGATGGGAAAAGACAGGCCTGTGTACCCGCCCGGCCTCAGCCAGGGCTGCAGCTGGATGCTTTCAACCCTTACAGAAATTCCAGATAGCTTCAACCAACTCGAGTGACATTTTCACACCAAAAATAGTTTCAGAAGCAACACTCCACAGATGTCTCTAGCTAGCAGGAAGCTAGATATTTGATTTTTGAGCGTTTGAGAAAAGCATAACTTCTGAGACTGGAGG